TCTTCTTCTTCTTCTTCTTCTTCTTCTTCTTCTTCTTCTTCTTCTTCAGAGTTTGGACTGGGCTAAGAAGTAGCTGCTTCTTCTTTTTCTTCTTCTTCTTTTTCTTCTTTCTTTTTCTTTCTTCTTCCTTCCAACTTCCAAAACAAACCTTGATTCAGAGTCAGTGACACAGGAAATCAACCTTACATTAGACAGGAAACACGGTGCCAATTCAACAAACAAACAAAAAAACACATACACTATTGTATTAGGTAAATAAAGTTCCTATCTCCACACATTTTCAGGGTCATTAGATAAATCAATGCAATATGTTCATATAATTTTTAAAATTATGATGCCTTATGATTAACTTTTGTAAAATAACGTTGCAGGGCTTTCTCAGATCTCACTAGTGGTTTAGTAACGACGCTGAGATTTCTAATAAAGTTTAAAGCTTAGGCCTTTTGCTGGGGCAGTCTTCCAGCCACTGTCTAAACTTAACCCAACAATTCTAGCACAAGGACCCACCACGTGGCTAGCCTTTACCTTCCTGCACCTGTTCGGTCCATGTCTGTTCCTTTCTGTATCCTTTTCAAGTCCCCCTTCAGCTTGCATCTCCCTATGTCACTCTCTCTGCCTGGAAATTCTGTCCAAGTACTTCCTGCTCCAGATATTGGCCATCAGCTCTTTATTACAATCAATCACTAATGAGATAACACCTGATACTTCTCTTAGATTACCTTTAGGCACAGAGGGATGTATGACCTTCCTGTTTTTGAGCAGGTGTGGAAGGGCAAGCACTTACAGCATAAAGCTGGTGATGGGCTATAGAAATGGCAATACCAAGTCTCTGCCAGTACTTTCTGCCTGTACAGCATTCCTCAACTGAAATCGCAGAGACATACCTTAATACAACGTAAGGAAGGTCACACCAGCAAAATACAAATCCTTCCATGTACTTAATGTATTAGTCTGATATTCAAAAGTTTTGAAGTTCAAACCATTTCACACCTGACACCAAGAGAAGAAACTTCCTTGTGGGAGAGTACATGAACATGAAGGCAAGTAGAATTTTGGGAAACTGTGTTGGGGCCTAGCAAAGACCTTCACAACTTGGGGAAATGGGTTCCAACTTCTGATAAATCTTCCTGAAGGAATGTACTAAAGGCACAGGTGCTTAGCATCCTTCTTCTTCCTTGACAATATTCCATCCACTTCTTAGTCGGAATGCTGAAACACCTATTAACTGATCATAGGGTTAGGACGAGGAAAACAACCAGCCAACGGTACAAACGCTCATTATTCATTTGTCTTTATTAGATAAGGTGGCCCTTTCACCCACATAATCAGTACATCAAGTTACCTGTAAATGTCTGATCCAAACTTATGATGGTGACATGACTCTATTTGAGGATCTTCTATACACAAAAAAGAAACATGGGTAAGACAGGAACTTCTTGTAAGGAGACGAAAGCAACGGTAACCTAAGAGGCGGGATTTACTGCAAGATGTAGGTAACTTTTGACTGTCCTTAATGAAAAATTCAAACACTGAAAGAGTCCAGTCTCATCATTGTAGTTATAAATAGAAGTGAGATTGGGAGAGTAGCTTTTCGATGAGGCCACAACCCAGAAATAATCTTTTTTCATATTCCCTGAATCTCGTTATCTATCTAAACTAAATAATGCCTGTATGAACCACAGTCATAAGTGGTATCCGACACACTTTTAACTAGAGATATGTAACGGGAGCTTAAGTTTTTCTTCCAGGATGTACATACTTCCCTAAGGTTTTAAGCTCAGCCTATACTCGGGCACTAGTGTCACAGCACCAACTAGTACTTTTACGAATGGCAAGCTGAGCCCTCGAGCATCTCTGGAACTTTCCATGGTCTTGTTCGGTTTTCCTGATGGAGCTGAAGTAGCTCCAGCAGGTCACCCCAAGTGACCATGTGTCCCTGCGGTGTGGTGGTGGCTGTTCACAGCCAGGCGCCGCTTACATTTGAGGTTTTCGAAGTAAACTTAGAGCTATGGTCTCTGACAGAATCCACAAACGCCAGAAAACCTGCGTGGCTGAGGATTTGGCGGGAAGGCAGGGGTGACCACAGGGGCATCCTCAGACTCTTGCCACGGGTGTGGGGGGGTGGGTACTCTCCCGTGTGGGGGAGGGCCAGACGCACACCCTTCCTCCTCCTCCAGCAAGGGGACCTCAGCCGAGATTTGGGGCTCGCCTCACCTGTACTGACGGAACCCGCCGCCGCCCTCCCCGCTCCGCGCGCAGCCCGCCTCGCCTTTCCCAGCCAGCCGCCGCTCGGACGCCGGCGAGCCGGACGGACCGAGGGGAGAGACAGACCGACGGGCGCGAGCGAGCGAGCGAGCGAGCGGCGGGGAGCAGCGCGAGCGCGGGACGAGCGAGCGCGGGTTCAATTAGCGAAACAAAGCAATCATGGCGGAGCTGGCGCACCGGGCTGCGCGCCCCGAGGACTCGGCGACCGCCCCGCGCCCTGGCCGGTAAGTGACGCGGCGCCACGCGGCCTCCGCGCTCGCTCCCGCCGCCCGCGCCCCCGCGCCGCCCCCGC